TTTTTTTTCCCTGTCGAATTGAGATCTACAAGGATTGACCAACTGAAAGGGAGGATATCAGGAGTAATTCAGAGATGGATTGTTTTACGACACGGAGCTCGGATGATACTTCTTTGACAAAAAGAGAAACAAAGCATCCAGGGATATATATTCGGGGGTCGACAAGTCGACCGCTTATTCGTCGCAACCCAACGGCTGAAACGATGGCTTACAAGTCGCAGCCAAGTAAGACGACGCATCACCGCCAGATTGAATAAGAGTTAAACCTCACCGCCGAATGCGTGCTTTCATCCTGGCAGGTTATATTCTGCGTTAATGCCTGTGATATGTACGCGGGGGAAGAGCGTATGCAAGGCTATGCAGCGTTGATGATCTGTCGAACTCCAGACGGAGAAATATTAAAGTCAAAAAGCCCTTATCGTCGTTATCCCTTATCGACCATCGAATTTTGACTTTTTTCGTCCCATCCTTCACGCTTAAGTTCAAATCTCCGGATTTTCCCACTCCTTATCCTTATCCCCCGCGAAAACCTCGGAGATGAGTGGCAATACGGAAACAAAAGGGGAACTTGGTGAAAATAAAAAAAAAAAAAAAGAATAAAAGGGAAATGGAAAAGAAAAAGAAAGAAAGAAAAATAAATTATAAGGGAAGTAAAATTTTCACGAGCTAATATTCACCCAGCGAATCATTCTTTGACCCATACATTCATTGTCTAAAAATCTTATAAAATTACTACTTTTCCTTTTCTTTTTAGCCAAGGTTTGAACGAACCACCCTTGCTTGTGATTCATACAAGACAACGTAATCAAAAATTTTCTCGTCACCATTTGTTGCATGGTCCGATGGACAAAGTACCATCCTTCCATATTTGTTCTAGACAGTTCCTCAGGGAGAATTATTATTTTCCTTATTTTGCCCTTATGCTCCGTACAATCTATGCTATTCTATTAATCCCGCACTGTACTCTATTACTCATCTAGTTCTAACCGCCAGATATTCAATGATTCAAAGCACAGTCACCACTGCATACTCGCAGTATTGCCTAACCCAGGTTGCCACTTATTAACAAACCCACCAATCACTTTTGTTCAAAGCAAAATTTTACACAGGATAACCATATTTCAGATAAAAAGAAACCAGAGCTCACATATTATCAGATGAATACCACATTGTCCACTTCTGTTCGCCTCGTGCATGTCAACATTAGTAGTGTGGACCAATACTGCCTTTTTAGTAGCTACCGGCAGGCCTACCACAGGACCGGTACTAGCAGGCAGCACATGAATCCGCCACTTCTGTCATCGCAAGCTTAAGTGGTTCATCCTCTTATCTGCTTTTTCCCTTATCCGACAGCTTCCTAACTTCTCAAGAGCCTTCTACTAGTACATTCACAGTAGTATATGAATGGTTTGTGAGGTTACTCGGGTCACACCATCCGGCGGCACTACTCGGTATTTCATCGGCTTGAGTCCGCAAAACCTAAAGAGAAAAATCAACGGCGTCATCTATCCCGTGATTATTTTTTATAGTTCGTCGGATTTAGCCCGCAAAAATCGAAGCATCCGACGCACAGCCGACTGTGGCGAGATGGTACCTCAAGGACCAATAGGGCTACCACACTTGATGTCATTGCTCGTGTTTTGTCTTTTCCTGATTTCCTGAGGTTCTACTCAGCATTAAGCTCCCAGACTTGTTCATGTGGCGGGAATGAGTGTTATCTACATAGTAGATTCCGTAAGTTGAACAATGCAAGCACTATGGAGGCATGTGGCCATTATGATTGGCAATCAAGGATTGCAGTCATACGTTGTCTCATACTGCGGATATTGGTTCAGCTAAGGATAGGGAAATACAGAGCACAGAAAGCTTCCACAACAACAGACTAACATTTTAACACCAGCGTTTGTTACAGATAAGGTATCCTGCTCCTGCTCTTGTGGTCATGATAGAGCAAAAATAAAGTATCACCAGCGTTGCCACATCGTTTGCCCCTTATAAGCTACCTAATCGGAAGAGCTTGAACTCGAACTCGAGCTCGACGAACTGGAACTGGACTTGCGCTTGTGGTGGTGTTTCTTATCCTTCTTTTCCTTCTTGTGCTTTTTATCCTTCTTGTGCTTCTTATGGCTGTTTCACAAAGTTAGCATAATGAGTCTAATAGATACGCAGCGGATAACGATCATGCATGAGACACGTACGCTTTGTTGGCCATATTCGCGCCTATAGCTCCAACCAATGCACCTCCTGCGGTGCCCAGTAGTCCGCCCCCAACCTTATGGCCAACAAAACCACCCCCGGTAGCCCCAAGAATTGTTGAGCCAAGCCCTTTCTCCCCTTCCTGTCCCGGCTGAGAAGCGTAGTCTGACTGCGAGCTAGCGCCGTAATACGAAGCACTCTCACCCTGATGATATTGCTGCTGGGGGTAGGGGGAGTGGCCACCATCTTGCGGTGGGCTCATATACGAGCCTTGCCCGTGGCCATAATCGCCAGGATATCCGCCTTGTTGGGGGCCGGCGCTGTAGGGTGGGGGATAATTCTGCTGCTGGCCGTACGAGGGATACTGGGTATGAGGTTGCTGATCGTAAGCGGGCTGAGATAAGTTGCAACATTGAAGTGTTAGTAGATAGTGAAAAGCCAAGAAATAGTTCCACTCTCATGCAGCGATAGCCGCGGCGGGTGCATGGTCCTAAGAAGTATAAGGAGGGAAAGACAGCACTCAAGCTAGACATACTGTAGATTGATAGTAGCCATGCTGCGGAGGCTGCCCGTATTGGTTATGTGTAGGATAGTTTCCTGGTTGACCTCCATATCCATCATATTGGTTATTGCCATGTGGCGGTGCCCCGTACTGATTGTACTGATGGCCACCGTACTGGTCAGACATGATGAGCAACTAAGGATGCTTGTAATGTTACGCGGGGGTGTGGAGCGAAGCCAAGCATGTAAGCTAGGAGAAATAAACACAGAAGACAAGTCGAAAGTTTTTAAGTCTGAGATTTATTGAGATTACTTTTCTACTTGGGGAGCTGACAAGTGAAGGAAGGAACAATATGGCTTCGCGGGGTAAAGGGGCTGTGTTAACAAGTAATTAAAGAACGACCCATAAATCGTACAGAAACGGGAGCATGTCAGTCGATCGATATCATATTCAAGAAGTTTGTGTATATAGTAGTAGGTACATTATTAGCAAGTGCACCATAATGAGCATTGCCAATCGTCTACATGGTTGACTATTCGATCGTATAGTCTCTTTCTTTTTCGCCACAGAGACCCTTGTATGTATTTGGTACTCTGATATTTGCCTCACTCCGATGCCAACTACTCTCAAATGACGAGAAGCCGGGTATCGCAACCTCGCCTGATGAACTCCCACAAATCAGCTCCCCCAGTATCCATGTCTACTATAACAAAGAAATCATAGAACGATTCCCACGGGCGTTATTGATTGCTAATCGGATGTAAACAGGCCAGTAATGATGGGCAGGGTGTCAGAGCTGGTCCGATGTGCATCTAAGCTAAATCCGGATGCTCCGATTTTCGCTACTTATCAAGTGTACCCTGTCAATCAGGAATGTTAGCAATACTACAATACTACGTACTATATCTATTGCCTGATTCCTATCGGTATCTAATAACATTCATTGTATTTACTGCAAGCTAATAAGACTTACAGCTAGAATTTTGTCTCGTAAAGAATTAAATCCTATCTCGACATTTCTGGATTGCCTTTTATCGTTCTACATGTTTATCTATACTCAATCATTGTTTACGAGGCGCGCCTTCCTCTCCGGGAAGCCATCCCTCACACAGTTATCGCCTTTTAGAGCGCTATCATTCTCATCGAGAGTCATGTCTATGAATGACTGGAGTGCCACTCAATATCTAAAATTCGAAGATGAGCGGACTATGCCGGCTCGCGACCTCCTTGCTCGGGTTCCTCTCCAAGCCCCAAAAAGAGTAGTTGATCTGGGTTGTGGACCGGGCAATTCAACCGCTGTTTTGGCAACTCGATACCCTGATGCTCATATCGTGGGAATGGATTCATCACCCGACATGATTCAGAAAGCAAAGGCGGCTCTCCCAACCTACGAGTTCAGTGTCGAAGACTTGCGGTCCTATTCCCCGCCTCCGTCAGTCGATCTTTTCTTTTCTAATGCTGTTTTCCAATGGCTGAAGAAGGAAGAGCGGATCGCCGTCATTAAGGGCCTGATGGAGACTCAACCCTCCGGAGGAGTGTTTGCCTTTCAAGTGCCAGACAATCTGATGGAGCCCTCCCATGTCCTGATGAGGGAGGTTGCCACCAATGGTCCCTGGGCGTCCACTCTCAGCAATGTCGGCAGAGATACCTTTCAGTCACCACAGGAGATATATGATCAACTGAAGGATTTGTCTTCTGAGGTGAACATCTTCAAAACCGAGTACTACCACTCACTTGAGGATCACAAAGCCATCGTGGAATGGGTAAAGGGCACCGGATTAAGACCCTATGTTGACCCATTGTCACCGCAGGATAAAGAAGCATTTTTAAGCGAATATCTGAAGCGATTGGAGAGTGCGTATCCCAAGTTAATCGATGGTCGGGTTCTGCTACCCTATCCACGGTTGTTTGTCGTGGCGGTCAGGAAATAAGGTAGGTTTTTCTTTAATTAACGATTGATTCAGTAATGCTTACCAGGTAAATTCTAGGTTAACGATGGAATTATTGCTCAGCAATCTCTATACAAGTATACGTGTATGTATATCAATCTGTATGAACATAGAACATATTAACCTGTCCTGAACACAGGTTATGATATAGCAAATACAATATCGCTTTCTAGAGATTAGAGCAAAATTGGGCGATCGATTATGCAATCTATGTATAAACATCATTATGCGCGCGGAATACTTTTATACTGTCAGAGTCCCTTCCTATTAGGTGTTCAATATCATCTAGACTGCTCGCCCTCTGAAGAAGAGAGCTATCTAGCAATCTCAAGACTTGATTCGGATAAACCTTCCTATACATAGAAAAATGAGGTGAGCATGTGTGGCCTGCCTTGCCATTCTATCATTCATCGGGCGAAAGAAAGTTTATCTGGAGGACTTCCTCGAATCTTTCATCAAGTCCGAGCAGTTTAGCAATGGAGGTGTTGAGGAAAAACCAGGCTCCGTCTGATTGATCGGACCATCTGAGACTATACAACCAAGGAATATCCCCAAGTTCCCCTGTTGACGGGTAAGAGTAAGAAGTTTAGAATCACATGTAGTGATTGGGGTTTATAGTCTGGGCATGCATCGGTATCTGGAGGAGGCGGGCTTTACCAGTTAATGTATGCACTGGTGGCCATAATGCGACCGCAACCAGATCATTGGAGCATGAATTTGGAACTTGATGTAATGGTTGCTGACTTCGTAGAAGTAGGTAACCTCCTGATGCTCGGCCAGGAGAATGACAGGACAAGAGATTTATGAGGCGCACCGGATGACTGCTTGTCTAATGGGTAAGCATGCTGTACATTGAGGTGCTCATAAAAAGCGAGTTCAAAGTGATGATAGAAGAGAAGATTTTGTAATATTTGGTATGGTCCTGACCACACAAGAAATTATTGTATCTGGTAGAAATACACTCAATTAATAATCGACAAGGCCCAGTCGTTTTCAGATTGCTCCTTCGTCGGGTGTTTGCAGCTTTGTCTGTTATCAATCAGGCGATGTGATTTGTTTGGTTACACATTTTCCAGGGTGCTGAATAACCCTGCACATTTTATGTTGCTAAATATCGTATCTACACCAAGAGCGTTGTCATACCTTCATTCGATAAGAATCGGAGTTTTAAGGACTTGAAAGACCTCTAGTCTATACCTAGCGGTCATGCTTTCTGGGTGGTTTGTCGGACGGCACGCGCGAAGGTTTTTCGGATGGCTTGCTGGATGAATTTTTGGATTTGACGCCAAATGCGACGAGGTCGTGTGGACGGCTGCTTCTTGGCTCGTTGAGTTCATGTTTGGGTTCTAATCCTAATTCAAAAGGCGTCTCCCGGTATGGCTTGCGGCCTGTGTCCCGTATTGCACCGGGAAGTAAGCCAGTTGGTGTCGTCGTTATCTTCCCCTGTTCATCAACGTCCTCAAATATTTCAGGCCCTCCGGGAATACCTAGCCTAGGCGTCGGCTTGGCCGGGTCCCATGTGAAGATGTGCTTTTTAGCAGTCTCGTCCCACTCCATGTGCGGGATCAGGCACAGCGTGCGCCTCCAGATCCTTTGCATGAATCGTCGCGTGATGATATGAGGGCGTCCTTTGGAGTACGGCTTGAATGTCGGGCCTTTTACAGGACCATCTTTTAATAGTGTTCTTAGATAACTGCGGGTTAATCGCCTAATCTTCTTTTGTCTGTCGGAGAGGTTCACTGGTGTCCTCCATTCGGGCGGGTTCCATGGCGTTTCTCCTGAAACCAATCCTTTCAAGATGCCCAGGTCGGGGTCAGGTAGTGGCGGAAGGAGGTGATCAAGGACATCGGTATACCAATCCTTCCGTATGTTTCTCCTTCGTGATTTGGCCACCCCATCTCCCCAGATGCATTTCTTAGGTATGGGCGGCTCAAGGTGTTTCACTTGGCGAATGTTTAGTTGCGAGAGAATCCCGTTGTTCTGCTGGGACTTCAGAAGCTCCATCACGATTGATGGAGGTTCCCAGCCATCTTCGTATTTCTGGGGTCGTTGAAGGGCCTCTTCCACAGCAGTATTATTTGCAGGAACATCGGGGGCGATCAAAGCGCTCAGTAATTCCTTCCTCCGTCTCCCTTTTCGCCCATATGCCATTCGGATGACTTTTTCGAGTGGTTTGGAATATCCTGCGTTCGCTCGCTGCAGTAATGACAGGGTATCCTTTGCTTCGTTGAAGAGAAAGATCTGCCGCTCGGCATTCCATCTGATCCATGGGCGTCGCTCTTCTATCACGTAACGTCGAAATCTTTGGACAACATAGTCATGTAGGTTACATTTCGCAACGGGGTCTGGTAGGTAAGAACATTGGCGAAGTAAGGCACGAAAATAACGACGCCATGAATGTTGTTTCCATGGATTGACGAGAGCTAGTTTCGCAGCTTCCACGGCCTCCTTCCTCCCCATGTTGTAGGGCAACGATGTATCTGTGTTCGGAAGAACTTTGACTGCCCGAGGCGAACTGAAAAGGGAAATAACATGACTTGACGGCTGTTAACGCGAAAACCGAAAACGCTAAACCCAAAACGCGACTAAGTAGCCACCCCGCGACTTTTCTCTTCGTTGTCGGGACTGGCATAATCATTTCAAGACGGAACGAATCGAAGAAGACAGGTCTCTGATTCTTTCTATACAATTCTCTAACCCTTTTGGTGGGTGATACTATCTTCTTGGACGGGTGGTCGTATACGTTCGGTTCCAGCTGAACTATCCCTTTCGCGACCGGTGCGCTAAACCACGCGCCTCTTCGCCTCTTCGCGCGAATCCGGTCGATCCTCAGGATAGGTGCATTTCCCCACATGCCTTGACTCCCTCGCTCTGCTTTTTATTTTTTTGCTTGGTACAAAGTTGTTATGCCATTTCATTTGGCGCAGCTGAGACTTTTAGAGATTTAAGCGCTGTGAAATATATGTGTATGGTGCCTGGGTTGGGAGGCCCCAATACCGAAATTAAACAAGTTCAATGGCTTCCAACAATCACCACCCACCGCGTCCAAGCCTACCCATGTCATATTCCCAAAGTAGCATTGGGTCTGCCAATGGGATGTCATTTTCGCAGTCGCAACTTGGCTCTTTCAATGCTTCCCAGTCCGTGGCAACAACTCCTCGAGGTACACCCCCTCCGAAAGGATCGCAACAGTCGGCAATGTCATTTACCTATTCGAATGGCCTACCTCATGGTGCGCGAGGTAGTTTCAACGGCTTTGAAGACATGAATGGTTATGGAGCAATGGTGACGTATCAAGAGGAGATGAAGCCTCAAATCTACAGAGTATGTTCTATCCTATCTTTGTGAGACCGCGCGGCCTTTTCTTTCAAGGTCCATTCCATGTTGACGCTTTCTGTTCATGTATAGGCAGTTTATTCCAATGTTTCCGTCTACGAAATGGAAGTTAATGGAGTCGCCGTTATGAAGCGTCGTTCGGACTCTTGGTTAAATGCCACCCAGATCCTCAAAGTCGCCGGTGTTGTCAAGGCGAGGAGGACGAAGACGCTCGAAAAGGAAATAGCGGCTGGTGAACATGAGAAGGTCCAGGGAGGCTATGGTAAATACCAAGGTACATGGGTGAACTATCAGAGGGGCGTGGAACTTTGTCGCGAATACCACGTTGAGGAAATGCTGAGGCCGCTTCTTGAATACGACATGGGGCCCAACGGCACCACTGGTTCCGCGCAGGACTCTTTAGATACCCCCACGAAGGAACAGGCGATGGCGGCGCAGAGAAAACGGCTATACAGCGGCATGGACAATCGTAATATGTCTCAACCACAACAGGGTACTTTCTTCCAGAACATTTCTCGCACTGCCGCAACAGCGGTCAACGCTATGAGTAAAGCTCGCTTTGATTCTCCTGCAGCAAGAGGTATCGATGGCAGGCGATCAAGTATCATACGAAAGCCTTCAAATCAGACAGGCAGTCAAGAATCGCAACTTCCGTTCGCCAGCCAACAGAGCATGTACAGCATGGCATCCGACAACGGATTCGGAAACAACCTTCACCACAATGGCCGACACCCTCATGATACCTCAGCGTTTGATCACGATGAGTTTGTTGAACCTCCGCGCAAGCGAGTCCGGTCTTCTTCCAACCATGCACATTCATTTGGACTCCATTATGAGCCTTCGGCAGTGTCGATGACAGAGGCAACCCCGACGGAACCAAACGATTCCTTTTATCAAGATATGGATATGTCAACTCCTATGGTTGACGGTAACAAGCGCGGCGTTGAACCACTTCCTCCAGCGACAACTCCTGAAAGGTTTCAAAAGATGAAGCTTATTATGACCTTGTTTCTCGACAAGCGGACCAAAGACTTTTCTAATCATCCTGCCTTGATGCAGCTAACTGGTCACGATTTGGAGACCCCACTCGATGAATATCGGAATAACGCCCTACATTGGGCAGCAATGCTTGCTCGTATGCCCCTTGTCCATGCGCTTGTCGAGAAAGGCGTTAGTATATTCCGACTTAATGGTGCCGGTGAAACTGCATTGCAGAAATCTGTAGGAACAAGGAACAATTATGACTATAGAAGCTTCCCACGCTTGCTGCAGGTTCTTGCTCCAACAATTGACATGGTTGATTACAGTGGGCGCACAATTCTTCACCATATCGCTGTAATGGCTGCAACGGGCGGCGGCGGTCATGTGTCAGCGAAGCATTATTTAGAGGGCTTGTTGGAATTTATAGTCCGACATGGAGGTAGCGCGCTGGGCCGACAAACCCCGAATGGGCTCGAAAATGGAGCAAACATTGAACAACCCGCTGAGGTCATAACGCTTGGTCGATTCATTTCAGAAATCGTGAATCTCCGCGATGATCAAGGGGACACGGCGCTGAATCTCGCGGGGCGCGCACGTTCTGTGCTTGTGCCGCAGTTATTGGAAGTGGGTGCAGACCCTCACATACCAAATCATACTGGTCTTCGGCCTGCGGACTATGGCGTGGGTGTAGATATGGTTGATGGAAATTCACAATCTCAGCAATCTGGAACCAAGAATGATTCCTTTATGGACCAACTAGCTAAGACTAAGAAGGAGATCCTTGATGGTAAGAGGGCAACTATATTGATCGTTATAATTATTTCGACTCACTGACTCTTTGTGCAGCAACATTAGCCCAGATTAGCACGATAGTGCAAGAAACACTAGGGGGGCTTGACAAAGAATTGGCCACGAATCTCGCTAAAAAGCACGAGAAGTTTGAGCATTGGCATTCAAAAATCCGCGAGTCAGCGAAAGCTCGGCAAATTGAACAGAAACAACTTGACGAGCTCAGGCGCAAAGCCTCAGATCGTATAGGACTGAGCAGGCGCTTCAAAAACCTTGAGATGTCATCTGAAGATTTGCTTGTACTTCTAAAGAGCATCCATGGTGATTCATATGATTCATCGAGAATGATGTCGGTCGGCGATGCCGACAAAGACTCCGGAATTGATATCGACAAATTCGAAGTTATCTTTCCGGAAAACTTTGATCCTGCCTCGGGGTTTTCCGAACAGCAAACTGCTTTCTTAGACTCGCTACCGTCTGCCGCAGCTCTGCAGCAACGCATACAAGGCTATGAAGCATTCAACGAAGAAATCATGAATGAAATCGACCGTCTTAAATCGAAGAATGTGGTACTTGGTCAGAGCTATCGGCGAATGGTCATGGCCTGTACTAACTGGACAGCTGAGCAAGTTGACGAAGCTGCCGAAGGTTTAACGGAATGTGTTAAAGAACTGAATGATAATCCAGTTCCCGAAGATGAGGCTATAGAAATCCTGATGAAGGACCGTGGTCAGGATTGGTAACATCTTCTACGAAATACGAAATACATACATCACATATGAGCCGGCTTTTCAGAGAATTCTCCCCCTTTGAAATCGCTGCAAGTTTACGAATGTTTCTTTTCTATGGTATCTCATTGTCTTTGGATTCGGTACAAACGAGCGTTAGTTCATATGGAGCTTGGTGTTGAGCATTCTGCACGTTTATGCATCAATGTCTGTATTTACAGATACCCTAACAGCACATATAATGGGTTTTGAATGGTGTTTTGCTTTTGTTGTATCTATAGATATGTGTTTGGTAAGGTTATATTGTTCCCTTGATTCAAGGAGATATATATACCAAACTCCGGGCAGCGTTGTTATTCTGCCTCGTACTTGCTACTGAGCAGGTTGGGTTTGCTTCAATTGGAATAAATGGCTTTATGGAAGTCATTGGTTTACTCTTCAATACAGTTCAGATCCCTGCTATAAGACTTGTTATCATTTGGTATACACTATACGCGGCTCTTGTATCACAGAATGTATACCTACTCTCATTATAGTATCTCAGTTAAGCTTAGCGAGCATGGGCATGTTCTCTTAAGATCTCATTCAGCCCATCCCGCTGCACACACTCCTCAAAATGGAAGCTCCGTGCCAAAGAATCCAATTCCGCTTCATTCATGCCCCGGAACAACTCCGCAAACTCATCCGCAAAAGAAGCCGCCAAAAAAGTCTGGAACACATTCCGTAATAAATGCCTCTCCGTATTCCACGGCGTAGGATATGTCTCCTTCGCCTTGGGACTGACCTTGTCAATCCATTCAACAAGCGGTCTCAGCGCCGCTTCGGGTTCAGCGCTAGGCCGTCTTCCCCAACAATCCAGCCAGAAGTGGTTCTTCTTCTCTAGGAAGGGTTGAATGGTCTTATTCCATTTGCTATCTGGGTTCGTGTAGATCATGCCTTGGAGCCCAATGTCTTTGTATAGCCAGATGGACCAGTGGATATTGTATTTATCATAGATGCGGAGCTGCTCGCCGAGGAGATTGTAGCGTTCTTGGTTGATTGTTGAGGCTTCTGCGTCAGCGCGGGGGTCTGCATAGACGGGTCCGAATTCACCGTTCCAGATTGCCGTGCTTTTCTCGTTCAGATGTTGAACTTTGCGAAGATAAGTGCGTTCTAGATGAGCGTTTTGCTCGGTTGTGCCCTTGTAGCGCTCGCCTGTTGGGAAACCCATTGACTTCGTTTCATTGTTAGAGTTAGCGTATATTTTTTAATTAGAGTTTAAGAATGGAGCATTGAGAAGGGAAACGTACAGCGTAGTCATGGATGGAATAAACACAGTTAGGAAGGACCTTGTCAAAGCCTTTCCACTCCATGGCAAACGTATTGCCATCTAGCCATAGGATATGGTCTGGATCAATGGCACGGATAGCCTTCTCAACTCTCTCGTAAAATGCAGGGAGTCTAACATGCTCAGGATCGCACGGTTCGTTAAGAGGATTATACCCGGCGACCCACGGGTTAGACCTGTATCTAGCCGCAATCTGTTCCCATAGCCATACCGTTCTATCCTGGTGGTCCTTGTAGTCCCAGAACGCAGCGTAGCTGGTAAAGTTATCTGAATGCCAGTCACCATTTTGGCCGCCAGGAGCCGTATGCATATCCAGTATGGTGTAGATATTCTGTTTTGCGCACTGTTCTCGTGATCAAAGGTGAGTGTTCTTTGAACAATAGATTGGATATCGGCCTGATAGGAGAACTTACCAAGTCTACCACTCGATCCAAATGTTTGAATCCAGACTCTTTAAGCACGCGCGGGTTCATATCATCTTCTAGATGGCGGTAGTTGAAGGGGATTCGAATACAATTCAATCCTAGTCCGGCAAAGAACTTGGCATCTGCCTCTGTGAAGAAATATTTCAGCCATCTGTCGAAGAAGAATTCGTATTTCTCTGGCCCCAGAACTTTCTTCATCGCAGCACGGTGTTGCGACTCATGGCCTGGGTATCCGGTGATGAAGTTTTCCATACTAGAAGAACCATAATATTAGCATAGTAAACTATGATGGCAGGAGTAACTGGGACCGACGTACTTCATCCATCCTCCGATGGCTGCACCCCGAAGGAGGACCTCGTTGCCGTCGTCATCGACAACCTTGTTGCCTTTAACTTTCAGAATCCCCGAAGACATTATAGCAGTTTTCTCTAACGTAGTCCGATAAGTGATAGGTATATTTTCTTGGAAACTTGTCGACTTCCAGCAATTTCTAATGAGTAGAAGTAAACTCACCGTTTAATTGGCATGGCATACAACAGCCACCTTAATAAACCCCCGGGCCTCCTGGTTTAACGGCAAAATGCATGCTGGCATGAGCGATTCTTTGCATCTTGGCTTCAGGTATGCGGGGTAAGTTTCCTGTCAACTTTTACTCTGATGCGGGACGATCTGAAAGCCATGTCGGATAAACGATACATTTAGGCTGAATCAGAGGTTATGAAGACCAATGTTGCTTAGTAGCCAAGACTCCAAGCAACAATGTATCTCTAGGCTTCAAAGGTTATGGCTGACTTCTGGTGATTGGTGGAAAATAGCATCGCTTGAAAATGCTCGCTGTTCGTACCAAGAATGTATAGTTTCCGAGGATTTATCACATAAAAATCCTATTCTGCCAGTTGGGGCTCAAACTGAATTCGGACACTATAATGGATAATACCTGTCACGGTGTGGAGGAGTGAGGATATCGCTAGATCACACTGTCCACAATACAGCTCTGTATGGCATCATGCCGGGCTACAGTCCACTTGGTAACCTTGGATAGTGCTTGGTTAGATCCCGACCCGACCAAATCAGTAACTGGCGATTATATAGGACTCTTGAAGTAACATAGAAGCAGTTGACGATATTAATTCGGATGGATTGGGGTTGACGGATGGTAGAAGATGAAGATATGGGAAGGAAGATGCGTGGATGAAACTGAGAAGAAGAGGATGCGAGTCACGGGGAGTGCCTTCCCCAAATGAGGTAAACCCTAGACACTGGGCCCATCTAGACAACTGAAAAGATTTAAAAAAGAAGCATGATGTCAGTAGTTATCGGTATGCGTTCGTGGCCTACTTCAAAGCAACCGGACTGCAGATACCCACCCCCTGGACCCATTCGATGATCAGGTTCGTCCCATATCATTGTTACCATGCATCACGACTTCCATATCCCGGTCTCAGTAAGTCGCGCTGGGCAACCTGGCGGAAGTCCCATGTTCCACTACTGAGGTTGAGGCAAATTCAATACCTAGTAAGCTTCGGTATCCTCACACGTCTGTATCACGTTTGCCCAACCTCTTCTTGTAATCCCAATGCTAATTAACTGCTTCACGGTTACGATTATATGTAAGCCAAAGGAAAGGAACACCATGTATTTAAGGACTAAATACTCACATACACTGTGTGTAGTGCTTGATGACTTGTTGGCTAACTCCAAGCCGCTCAGGTCGAGTTTAGGGGTTCGGTAACCAAATCATGTACGAAGCTGACTCGCCCATCCCTAGTGTGCGCGATGCATACACGCCGCGGAATGCACTCCGATATCCGTACATTACAGATCCTAATTCACTATACATTTCTCGCCTTTCTACTTGGCTTATGCCGAAGATAAGTTTTCCTTTCTACCAGGATGGCAAACTGCATACAGATGTGCCATTGCTAGTAGTTTGTAGCCGAATCTATGTTCCACAGAAGGTTGCTCGTAAGACGAGACTATACGACGGTGTCTGAAGTCGTTGAGCTTACATTTCTGAAAGCATATAAGCTCCGAAAGCAAGATTATCAGCTGATCTGGATTATGATTTGGGTATTTGAGGTTGGTCTGTCCCTTCCAATGTCGTTACACCACACGCTGACGACAAACTACATTATGAATATCAAGGAAAATCCGGCACTTTACGCCTTGGCCTTTGGAGCCTTGATCCATCTACTTTACTTTCGTATTGGCGAGCACTATCCATATCCAGCTAGGTACATTTACGGCAACTTCGGATCATTTATTGGCATTGCACCCTTTCTTTACCACGCGGAAGAAATCCCTGTCAATTCGGCATGTTCCAGATCCTTGTACTTGGTCTATACAGCAGCCTCGTCATATACCGCCTCTTATTTCATCCACTTCAGTGTTTTCCATGGCCCTTCCTATTAAGGGTCTCTGCGTTTTGGTTATCAGCTCAACTTCGCCACGAGACTCTCTATCGCAAACTTGCCGATCTGCACAATGAATACGGTGACTTTGTCCGGGTAGGGCCATCTGATCTCTCAATAATTCATCCTAAAGCCGTTAACACCATCTACGGCTTCAAATCTACGTGTGCCAAGAGTGCGTGGTACGATGGCTCTGCGCCCCTAAGGTCGCTTCATGCGCACCGTAATAGGGCTGATCACGACAAACATCGCCGTACCTGGAGCCCAGGGCTCACCGACCGTGCCCTACATGGATATGAGAAGCGGATACAGGTATATAGGCAGAAGCTCATCAACCAGATCAAATCGATGGAAGGTGGCAAGCTCGTAAATGTTAGCACCTTGTTCACCTGGTATGGGTATGATGTGATGGGCGACCTGGCATTCGGGCAAAGCTTCGACATGTTGGATAAAATTGCGTCCCATAGGGCAATCTTGATGACACACAGTATGCTCAAGCCGGTGGAGTATCTGATACCAATATGGTTCTTCCGACTACTGTTATCTATTCCTGGCACCACCAAGGCATTCTGGAAGTTCAAAGAATACTGGGTCAACTCTTCAAGATGAGGATGGCGGTATGATGAACTGACAATTCGTCCACTGACCAATCATGCTAATGGGACCAGACGAAGCAAGAAATACCTGATATTAGTGCATGTCTGCTGGAACCGCTGAAAGGGCGGGCACCAACCTCCGACAAGTTCAATATACTGCTCGGAGATGCGTCTTTGATTATTAACGCAGGAGGGTAAGTCACCACTCGTACATTTGGCTATGTGTATACTCGTTACCCACAGCGATAGGGACACTACGGCAACAACTTTGACGACAATCATATAAGAATTGGCCCGTCGTCCAGAGGAGGTTCGGAAACTACGGGACAAGTTAACCGGCTGTACCACTGACCCGAACGGAGAATACGCCCAGGAAAGACTCGCAATCCTGAAACATCTAAATGGTATTATCTACGAGACGCTCCGCATACACTCCCCTGTCCCGAGCTACATCCCACGGAAGACACCGCCGGAGGGAATCAACATCGACGGGACGCATGTGCCAGGGAACATGAATGTATCCTGCCCACAGTGGGTTATTGGTCGATGTAAGCGATTCGCTATCGGAGCAGTTCGATGACTTTTTTTTTTTTTTTTTTTTAACTAATGAATCTTCTGTCCTAGCCGAGAATGTCTATCAAAACACCCATGACTTTTATCCCCGAGCGATGGTACCTGTATCCCAAAATGATCAAAGAGAGATCTGCCTTCGCTCCATTCACAACAGGTACGTTGACAGATGAATTTACCTGACCATGAGTTATACAGCTGATGTTGTCAGGGCCTTACACCTGCATTGGCAAGTCCCTAGCCCTCATGAATATCCGGGCAACTGTTGCTCGACTAATAACAACATTTGATATGGAACTACCACCTGGCGACGATGGGCGAAACCTTGAGAGAAGCATGAGGGAACATTTTTCTATCTACATGGCAAAGGACATACAGGTTCTCTTTCAGAAACGTGCCATATAGCTAATTCTGGATCAGCACAGTTTATGTTGTGGCTTCTCTGTACGCATGCTCCTTCGTCTGGCGTCACCTGGTATAATCTGTGGGTAATATAAGGAACCATTTGTTGATCTAGATATCTGGAGAGATTAAGTGGCCTGGCTCACTACGAACACTTTCTCCCCCTTCATCAAACTGAAATATCAACAGGAGAGTTATATTGTGCCGTACTATGGTTCCCGTTGTATCACATGGAGCGCGCATAACATCCAAGAGCGAATGCATGCTACGTACAGCTTACAAATAGGGTCAGAAATGCAGATCGGCATCTTATCAGTCTCGATTAATCCGGTTTGCGACCAACGATGTGGTATCACGTCGTAGCCTGTCGCTTGGCATTAGGTCACCATACTAGAGTCCCGAGTGGTTGGTACCAACCACCAATTGTATAAAGTGATGATCTTGACTCATGTCCCCAGGATTGGGGACAAAGAAACTGATAGCATCATTGACAGGCATAGTCAAAGTATGCGCAACCTTAACCCACTAGCCGAAGCATGATCAAATTGGTTTCCATTGACCCCTTCCACTAGATTCAGAAAATGATGTAACCCCAAATACGCGCCGTTGCATAAACCTCGGGATTGTGTGCGAACACGGAAGTTGTCCGGAAAAGCTTTCCCCCCCCCCCCCCCCCCGGCTGGGCCGGCTGGGCAAGACAAAGCCAAGAGGGATTAAGAAGTTCTGGGCAGAAAACAAGATTTGGGTTTAAGAAACAAAAAAAAAGAAAGAAAAGATACTTCGGCGGTGCATGTGCCTAGCCGAGTAGTAAGTTTAGACCATGAAATTATACATACCCCCGTGCGCTTCGGGAAGCAAATGCCGTCGTATCACATGGCGCATACAGTGACGCTCATAATACAAGTGGCTTTGGACTGCAGCCATTCTAGCAGCTGAAAAGCTGTTCTGATCATGACCGCATCTGTGCATGCCGTTGTGGGAAAACTCACCAATCCGGTCGGGCGAAGGCCGATATGCTGCGTGGATGGGTCTCGTGGAATGAAGCCGATCAATCATAGTTAACTCTTACGGTCAGACTTTTACCGTAGTGATCCTTGGTTGTGTGGACTAAATGGTTGACTGGAATGACCTAAATCCACTAGTGAGCTCGTACCCCGCGGCGAGGACCATGGCTAGGGAGTAAGCACCGAACCCCCCGGCTAGCTTGTTCTTTTTGACGCCCGTGGCGGTATCGGAGATACAAAGAGAAGGGATTGTGTATCGGTATGCACCGTTGAGATAGCTCGAAGAAAAGTGAGCGTGAGAGATGATATAAATGGTATCAAATTGGAGAGCGACACACATCCAACTACACAAATTCCGAAAGTCTGGAGATTAAGATAAAAACGTGGAGAGGGCTTGGCACGGTCTGGAGTAAAAAGCTTGGCGATGTGACGGGTACTAAAGAGAGAGATCAATCCATGGGTGAGCTGAGCCTTCCCGTCAGATGATTGAATCCATGATGATCCGAGCCATCATGCATGGAGCCAGATATTGGTTTTCGCGCAAGGAGTATGCATCCATAACTCGGGCCACTGTCCTCTTCCCGTTTTGCGATCCACGGGTCATCTGTTCGACGAGACTTCTTTGCTCTTGAATAGGAAATAGGCCTCACCATCAGTCTTTACAACCTCATCTCGAGGTCGACGATCGGCAGCCACCCCCGGCGACAAGGATGGAGAGGAAAATTTGCGGGGCCCCTCCTTAGCAGCATATTAGGCTCATAGCCTTGAATCCTTTTGTTTTGGGCCCTGTCGGAGATTTAAATCGGAGATCTCTCTCTTCCTCCCTCGCCTTCTGAAAATAATTTCTTATTTTTCTTTTCCCGAGCTTCCTGCCGCTCCAGTCTCATCTTGTAAAAAACTTCTTCAATATCTTCTGTTATCTCTTGAGTTTCCTGGCTGGCTTCTTTCACCATGGAGGCAGAAACTCATGAAAAGCGCCCCAGTGGCAATCACACTCCATCACCAGACAACGATGAGATGGAACACATGAGTGTAGGGAGGTATCTCTGGACGAGACTGCCGACGCTGGTACCACCGATGAACCCTGCCCCTAACCCGTTTAAAGCCCTTTCTCTGCTCAATAGACAGCAATGGCTTTTCTTTACCGTGCGTCCGCCAATTTTAGCCTCTCCCGGGCACAGCTAACTGCCTCTAGGTCGCGTTTCTAGGGTGGTCCTGGGATGCATTCGATTTTTTCACGGTTTCTTTAACAACTTCTCAATTGGCAGAGGCCTTCGATAAATCCGTTTCCGACATCACCTGGGGAATTACCCTTGTACTCATGCTCCGATCCGTGGGAGCCATCACCTTCGGAATTGCCTCCGATCGCTGGGGTCGAAAATGGCCGTTCATTGTCAATAACATCCTCTTCATTGTGTTGGAGTTGGGCACTGGCTTTTGCCAGACCTATAAGCAGTTCTTAGCTTGCCGCGCTCTCTTTGGGATTGCAATGGGCGGTCTTTATGGGAATGCAGCGGCAACGGCGCTCGAGGATTGTCCCTTGGAAGCGCGAGGCATCGTGTCCGGTCTGCTCCAACAGGGGTACGCATTTGGTTACCTGTTGGCCACTGCATTCGCACGGGGATTAGTCGATACCACCCCTCACGGATGGAGACCGCTGTATTGGTTTGGCGCCTGTCCTCCCGTTTTGATTATTCTCTTCCGACTGTGTCTGCCGGAAACCAATACGTTCCTTCAACGGCAGGCTACCCGAGAAGACGTTCGAGGTGGAGTAGCGTCATCCTTTCTCTCAGAAGGCAAAACAGCTCTGAAGCGGCATTGGTTGCTCCTTATTTACCTCGTTTTGCTGATGGCGGGTTTCAACTTCATGGTAAGCCATTGTTCTGGATGGCCTAATTTGAGAATTTTTCCCTAACATCCTTGTTCATGTAGTCGCACGGATCTCAAGACTTGTATCCAACCCTCTTGAAAAGCGAGTTTAGCTTCTCTGCCAACGCTGTGACCGTTACTCAAGTTGTCTCCAACCTAGGCGCTCTCACCGGTGGGACGCTGTGTGGCTGGGCGAGTCAGATCTTTGGGCGTCGGTTTTCTATCATCGTGATCAGCATCGTCGGTGGTGCTCTTCTATACCCCTACACCTTCGTCACCTCGACCGACGTCATGGCTGCGGCGTTCTTTGAGCAGTTCTGCGTGCAGGGCGCATGGGGGGTGATCCCCATTCATTTAATGGAGCTATCTCCGGGAGCAATTCGCACCTTCACGGTGGGAACGGCCTACCAGTTGGGCAATTTGGTCTCGTCGGCCAGTTCCACGATTGAATCCACGATCGGCGAACGCTTTCCCCTGCCACCCACTGAAACGGAAAAACATCGATACCAGTATGGAAAAGTCATCTGTATCTTTATGGGCTGTGTGTACGCCTACACAATTATAGTGACCTTCTTCGGGCCGGAGCGACTAGGCCGCCAATTTGATGTTGCGCATGATGCTGATATGGCGGAGGTGGCCGCCCATCGTGGGACGACTACGGTGGGGGAAGGTGCCGAGAGCGATGTGGAGAAAGGCACGGTCTCCCGGATTGAGGGCTAGTTACTGCATGTTGGGATTGAATATACATAATGGTTCGACAGGCGTAGACAGATGATTGGAAACTTCATTATTCTGGCAAAGATGTCGTGTTTACTGTTCTATAGTCCATGTATCGACTGTACTCGCTCTTCAATCCGGCGTGGGTCCATCCGATCTCTAGCTTGCCCGGTATCTTCCCCGTGGTAACCCAGCCCTGTTCACTGATATGTACATTTCTTTGTCCCTCATGGTCGCTTTCGTAGGCAGCGCGGAAACTAGACCTATCGAGAGGTATATAGAAGTTAGTAAGGTTTATCAAGCCCAATACACCACTCAAATGACCTTGTGGGATGGAACGTGGCATCTGAATCTGCTTAATTGTTTATCTTATATGGTCAATGCTCATGAGAGTTGGTCACATGGAGGGTTTTCTTCATTCGCCGCGGACAAGTTAACAAGACTTGGGAAGGACTAACTTACTACGTACACGACACATCAAGCGCTCATCCTGTCGGAGGAGCTCGAGTGAGGAAACTATGTATGTACATGCATACCAGTCGCTGATGGGGGAATTCCTCCCCTTTTGTATGACGGGGAATTATTCCAAACAAACCCCGCATTCTGACGGTCAAATCATATAAGGTTATTGCTGACAAAAGATGTCTTACGTTGCTTGTCTTACAACTTGAAGTCCGCAGAAGGAAAATTGTCCTTTGATTGGCCTTGAATTATTGATGGGGGGAGCACGGGGATGGCGTGCTCTCTCTCTTTTCTCTCATTCACCAGCCTCCGATCAAACAAACATTATGATGCTCTACAAGGTTAATCCCTAGTCCAAGAATAGTATATTTATGCTATGATCGGGAGAGGATTCGTGTCAATTGCACCCTTTGAACCCTTTAATCCGTCCCACGCACTAAGGAAAGGATGACGTTGTCTTGATACCGTAACTGAGATGCCTTAGCTCTCCTTCGTATCCAAAATAATAATGTACCAGGAATCACTCGAAAAGATGATGACTATAGGAACCCTGTTTGCTCAATCATTGGATCATACAATATTGTAGAGAGGAAGTAATTAGGTTAACAATTCAAAATGATTTTGACCAGAGAGAGAGAGAGAGAGAGAGTACGATGATCGCTGGTGCCGCGTGCATCCGCCAAGAGGAAGGCCGGAAACGGGGTTTTCCTGGTCGTTAAGATAGAGTATTGGTTTATCGGGTGGGATCTTGACGTTGCGCTCAAACTCACCCCTTCCTCTCCAGGGTGATCGCTGTTCGTCTTTTTCTTCTCTTTTCAGAATTTCCTTTTTTCTATTATTCTTCCTGGTGGTGGTTATGTTTGATCGCTCTCACTTGCTCTAGTGCAGGTACAATTAATTCCCTTCCCGTGCATTCCTTTTCTTGTCCAACCTCGGTCGGCCTGCCGCTCGTTCGTTTGCTCTGGTCTCGGCCTCGTTCCCTACGGAGTACGTACTTTGGAAAGGTTAAAAAAAAAAAAGAAAAAGAAAATTAATTAAATTAAGAACGGCGCAACCAACCACCGATCTTTCTACCCCGGTCGGTTCATCGGTTTACCTTGCAATTACTTATCGGTTCGAGATATTGAACATTCTTTTGTCTCCTTGTTTCTTATCCCCTGGTTACGTGCCGCTGTCGCTAGGCTCGCCCCCCGAAGTCTCCTCCGGACTTGCGATCGATCGGCCCCTGCGTGCTGGATGAGTACGACGACTTCCGCCGCTTCCAATGCACAGACGTTCGTCTGGCTCGCCTGTCGAGGACGACGCTGAAGATTCCTTAAGCTCTCGAACTCCACCAGAGCCAAGTAATGGTCCCAATGTCGTCGACACGCCGGAAAAATCGCGTTCGCAGGTAGCCCGCACAGGCACCAGCATCGACCTCCGGAGAGACGCTACGGGCGCTTCAACCCCCAGGTCCCGAAACTCGAGCATGTGGAGGACGCCGCCGTCCTCATCGATTACCTCAATCCCATCAGACTGCAAGTCATCCTCCGTCATGATGCCATTGGCCTCTCAGCGTCTACCCATTGAGGCGTCGCCGGACCATCTGCGCCGTTATCGACCGTCCCGCCTCCGCAGTCCATGGCCGTGTTCCATTCTCACAGCCTTCACCACCTTCGTCGCCTCGATCCTCCTCTTTTTTATTCTCCGCTCATTCGCCCTTCGTCAGACTGGTGGAGATGGCTGTGGAGTACCGGTTATGAGTCCGACATTCATTCGCATGGTGGGGTTTGACACGGAACATACGCGCTTTGCCAGCAAATATAATCTCTATCTCTACCGAGAGGGAGGTGTTGACCCATATAGTCAGGAAAACCTCGGGGTATGTTCACTCTGTGCGACCTTTCTCTACCTTCCACCAAATACATTGCTAAATGTCAATACGATATAGTTGAATGGAGTTCCCGTCCTGTTCCTACCCGGAAATGCTGGAAGTTACCGGCAGGTCCGATCCTTAGCCGCCGAAGCGTCGAGGCACTACTACGATGTTGTTCGTCATGATGAAGATCGTTTGAATGCCGGTACTCGAAGCTTGGATTTCTTTATGATCGATTTCAATGAGGATATGGCTGCCTTCCATGGACAAACCCTACTCGATCAAGCCGAATACGTCAATGAAGCTGTGGCATATATTCTGTCGCTTTATCATGATCCGCGACGTTCGCGAAGAGATCCGGAGCTGCCAGATCCGAGTGCAGTTGTCCTGGTTGGGCACTCTATGGGTGGCATCGTTGCGCGAACAGCGTTAACAATGACGAACTACCAAGCGAACTCGGTCAATACGATTGTTACCATGTCAGCTCCCCACGCGAAACCCCCCGTGTCGTTTGACTCGGATATCGTTCAGACCTATAAGCAAATCAACGATTATTGGCGGGAGGCCTACTCGCAGACTTGGGCCAACAACAATCCTCTGTGGCATGTGACGCTCATCTCCATTGCTGGTGGTTCGCGCGATACTGTTGTGCCTTCTGATTACGCTAGCATTTCTTCTCTTGTTCCTGAGACTCACGGTTTCACTGTATTCACGTCTACTATCCCTGATGTCTGGATCGGCATGGACCACTTGTCCATCACCTGGTGCGATCAATTCCGGAAAGCCATTATCAAATCCTTGTTTGAAGTCGTCGATGTCCGACGCGCAACACAGACGAAACCGAGGGCGGAGCGGATGCGGGTTTTCAAGAAGTGGTATTTGACTGGAATGGAGACTGTAGCGGAGAGAACGCTTCCGCGAAAGGGTACTATTCTCCAGTCACTCAATTTTGCTAATGGCTAACCTTCTTTGAAACAGAGCCTAATACTCTTCTGACATTGGAAGACCAGTCCAACACGATTTTATCGCAAGGCAAACGGCTCATTCTTCGCGACTTAGGCCACCGCAGAGGTCCGAATGTACACTTATTGCCTATTCCTCCGCAAGGCGTATCCGGAAAGAAATTCACCCTTCTTACAAACCAGCCATTTGATAGGTCCGGGGATCATGGGAGCCTGGAGGTTCTTTTCTGTAGTGTGTTCCCTTTGCAGAATGGAAAACCTGCAACGGCATTTTCGATGAACATGGACTTCTCCGGAGGTACCTCAGGCTCAACTCGTCTCGCCTGCAAAAATGCCGCCGAGGATGGAATCCACTTACCGGCCTCGACACCCTCCTCGAAGCGTCCTTATGATCGAGTCCAGCCTTTCTCTTACCTCCAGTACGATCTGGAAGATCTCGCAGAGCACCAGTTTGTAGCCGTCGTGGATAAAGCAAACTCGCCCACCAAGGGCTTTGTGCTGGCCGAATTTTCAGATAGCTCAGACTCTGTGGTCAGAGCTCGATTAGGTTTGGGGAGCCTCCTCAGTGCCGGACTGAGGGTGCGTCTGCCAGCCAACCGTCCCATGCTCACAGAGCTGCAAATTCCCGCCGTACACTCGAGTCTGCTGGATTACAGACTCAAAATCGTCCGAAAGAATCACGGACAACAGCAAGAGCTGTTCGCCCCCCTTTTGCGACAGTCTGTCGCAGATCCGCATGAATCTAAGTTCTTTGTCAATGTCAAAGATGTCAATGTGAATTTACATGGTCTGGCGCCCTTCATGCCTCCGCCCCTCCGAGAACAAGCGAAATTGGGTGGTGTTTCTTTTCATCTTTGGACAGATCCGAGCTGTGATTCCACGATTGACATCTCTTTGTCGGTGGATATTACTAGTAGTCTCGGCGAGCTAGTAATGCGGTACCGAACCGTGTTCGCTGCATTCCCGCTCCTTGTTGTTGCCCTGGTCATGCGTAAGCAGTTTCAGGTGTATGACGAGACAGGCTATTTCATCACATTTGCGGAAGGTTTGGACAGTGCACTGCGATCATCCCTTCCCATGCTCCTTCTGGCCATGTCGCTGCTTGCATCTTCCCTGGCGACATCTACAAAATTGCCGCCTACTGACGACCCGTTCCATTGGCGTACGAACTCCACTGAGTCCCCTGTTGACTTCACCAAAAACGATCTCCTCCTGGGCTCGCAGGACGCTTTCTTCTGGTTCCTAGTGCCTGTTTTTGGCCTGATTAGCGTTGGAGTGTGTCTCATGATCAACTATGTAGCGCTTGCTTTAATATTCCTTCTCACGTCCATCTACGGTTTTCTTAGAAGCAAGTCGGGCTACATTCGACGTGATGAGAAAGGGTGCGTCACTTTAGACCCGCATAGTTTCACCTACTAACTCCCCATAGAAACCTCCCGATATTTTCGTCCGCAAGCCCGAGGCGACGACTGATCAATTCGGCCATTCTCTTGGCCCTTGTGTCGACTGTCATTCCTTATCAATTCGCATACATGGTGGCGTGCATTGTGCAGTTAGCTACTAGTGTCCGAGCCAACTGGCATGCGAAAGAGGCTGTAAGCTCTCGTTCCTGTTTGCATCTATCCAACAATGCTAATAGCTATTAGAAATCCACAACCCACTATAACTTCGCCAACTTCGCTTACTCGATCTTCCTCCTAATGCTGTGGATTCTGCCGATTAACGCTTTGGTCCTTCTCGTCTGGGCTCATAACCTGGTTGTGCATTGGTTCATGCCATTCTCATCGCATCATAATGTGCTATCAATAATGCCATTTGTTCTCCTCGTGGAAGCCATGACTACTGGAACTATGATCCCTCGGGTCACCACACGGTAAGCCCCCAGCCTTAAGGCACAACCGAACGGCAACTGATGGCCATATAGGTTTAAACATGTCACATCTTTGCTCTTCTTCTTTATTGCCATCTACTCAGCGATCTACGGTGTCTCATACGCTTACCTCCTCCACCATCTCACTAATATCCTCGCCGCCTGGCTAGTGGGTATCTACTTCTCTGCCAGCGGATTTTCAATCTCAAGACTGTGGCGGGTCATAGAAGGGGACGAATCGGTACAAAACCCTGCATCAGGAAGCCACACGAAGAAAAAGCCATAAAAACCCCCTTATTATTTTTTCACTTTCCATTACTATCTGTCGTCTATTCTTTGTTGCATTTTCAGGTCTTAAGACACATATTTAAACGGAGTTCACACCGGGGGCGGTGTTTCATTCGCCGAAGAATCGGCCTGTACAGGATCTTCTTTCTTATTTGATTTTTTCCCACCCTTTTAGTCGAGTGAACCAGACAATTCCGTAATGTGAAATGTTCTCGGCATCAACTCGACTTTTTCCGCCACCATGCTCTCCGTACAGGCAACGCTATATATAGCTGCCCACTACCTTTTCTTTTATCACTTTTTTTTTCATCCTAACGTCTGTATATACGGTTGGATCTGGATATAGATCAAAGGTGTCTAGAATATAGTATACATAATTACCTCGTTTATGATGATGACATGCTTCAATTCTTCTATTCATACACTAATTAAGTATATCAACATTCACACTCTTGGGATTATAGCTTTCCAATTACTGCATAACCAACATATGAACTAGCCAAATTTATATCGGCCATACCATCTACCAGAACCTTGTAAATCGCAGTCATAGACCGTACATTGCCATAGTATAATACATGCTATAATACTGTTACATTTGACCTGAGAGTCTAACAACCCGAGAATAACAATGATAATCACATCAAAACAGGCCCAACCCGCACTCTCTCCCTAGCTCTAAACGCCTCTAATTCTTTAGCTCTCTCATCATCTTTCCGTCTCCGGCCAGCCTGCTTCTCGAACCTCTTTTTCCCCCCGTGCTTCAACTTCGTTATCAAATCCGTCGCCTGGCCCTTGGTTAAATGCTCCGGCCGGAGCGCATCCCTCCGTATCTTAGCCTTATTGAGGAAGTTCAACTGCGCCCAGGTGGCAGGTCGACGTCGCCAGGGTTGTAGAGCGGAGATATACAGTTCTTCAAACTCGGATGCCGCGAAGGTGTCAGCTGCGTGGACGGCGGATTCGAGGTCCGGGCCTGTGGCTATTAATCGGGGCCGGGTGTAGGTGTTTTTCTCTGTGGTGGGGTTTTTGTATACTTTGACGTGGTGGACTGTCCAGGTCGGTTGTTGGGGGTTATTGTTTGGTGATGTGAGGTGTTTATCGGTTGATTTCTCGATTGTGATCCAGCCGGTTGCATCGGAGAGGAGGTATTTGTTTTCGTCGATGCGGACCCAAGCATTGCGGCTTGATGAGCGGATGTACTTTTCGGATTTCATGTCCATGATTAGGTCGTAGATTGTGTCGTATTTAGTGAAGGTTAGGTTTATATCTTCTAGTGGGTCTGGACCTGGGGAGTCGTCTAGGTCTGTGGGTGGGGGTGGGTCGCTTTCTTTGTGTTTGAGGTCTTTGCCGTTGGCGTTGGCTAGGACTTCGTCTGGGTGGAGGCCGAAGAGGGTGGGTGTGGAGAGGACGCCGGTTCCCAGGGTGGCGACCATGTCGATGATGTGGCAGTCCTTTTTGCCTGGGTGGAGGCGTAGTCCGCGGCCTATCATTTGGATGAGAAGATTCCGGGAGCGGGTTGGTCGCGCGAGTACAACGCAGTCGATGTTGGGGATGTCGGTGCCTTCGGTGAAGAGACCGCAGTTCAGAAGAACTGGGTATTCCTGGTTCCTGAAGCGTTGAAGTTGGTCGTCGCGGACTTCCTTTGGTGTCTTGCCGGTGAGATAGCGGGCGTCTACGCCGGCAGCGCGAAAGGTCTCAGTGAGCTGCTTTGTGTGTTCGACATCGACGCAAAATACTAAGGTTGATTTGCGCTCTTGGGCGTTTGCCAGCCAGGCGCGCACTGTGATGTCGTTCGTTCTGTCGGTGTTCACTGCTTTTGAGAGTGAGCCGACGGCGAAGTCACCGAAACTGTCCTTCTTCACGCGGGACAGGTTGGCTTCGGATTGAACGGTGGTGAAGACTGCGTTGGCTAGCCATTCCTCGTCAATCATGTCCATGTAATCTTTATGGTAAACAATGTGGTCGATTGCCGCGCCTAGTTTCAAGCCATCGGCTCGCGATAGCGTCGCCGACACGCCGACTAGCACCGGCGAGTCGTGAGATGTCTCGTTCAGTCCGAAGTATTTGAGCACTTCTCGGTATGACGGCGCGACTATGTGGTGGGCTTCGTCCACGAGAACAAGTTTGAACTGTTTCGGGTCGAATTTGGCTATGCGGTCTCCATTTGTCAAACTCCGAATAGATGCGATGACAATGTCTGCTGCCGGTGAAGCTTTGCTGGTGCCCATTTCGATCTCGACGGTTCGGTCGGGGTAAGCAAGACGACAATGCCGAGCGGCCTGTTCGACAAGTTCGCGCCGATGAACGAGAATCAAGGTTTTGTTGTCTGTTTCATTTCGAGGAGGTACGCGGCCGATGAGCTGTGTGAAGATCACCTGGTGGAAGATATCGTTAGCAGAATCCGACTCTCAATACTGTGTAAGCTCATACAAACCGTTTTCCCAGCACCCGTCGCAAGTGAAACTCCGAGGCGCTTATGGCTCTGATCCAAATTATCAAGCACCGATTTGATGCATTCTTCCTGGTAGTCCCGAAGGACTATAGCGGGCGACTCGCGCGCGGCGGGGGCAGCGGTAGAGCTAAGGCGCAAGTGAGGTAGAAGACGACCAGCCCTCCCATAAGGACTCTGAGGTCCCAATAAGAGACGCGAAATGGGAATCCATCCCAATCTTCCACGAATACACTCCATCCAGGCTCCATGTGACTTAAGTTGATCGTTACGTAGCTGACCTGCAGCCGTGCCGATAAGTTCGGCGGAGAAGCAAACAGTGCAAACACCCTTCTTATCTGATAGAAATATTTCTACGGATCCCCTCGAAGTGTCGCATTCTTCTCGCTGCTATTTCTAGAGGTTCTTGACTCCTGCCTTATACGATGTTTAATTAGTCGGTTGATGCCGGGCATGTTTCCGCCATTTTTCCAGAGTCCATGTCAATGGTGTGCCCCTCTGGACCTCCAACCCGACAATGAGCAGCTCAAGTCTTTACGAGCCAGAGGAAGATGATGAAGCATCTGATTCCGATATCGAGACGGGAAATACGCAGTTCACCGACCCCCCCTCGTCTCCTCCGAGTCGCAGAATTAGATTGTCTTCTCCTCCTCGCCAGCTCGATGGAAAGTCCTCGTCCAAACCGGCGCAGACGCCCAGAAGGGTCTCTCGAATGCAGATGCTAGAACGTTTACAGACATCGCTGAGCAAGGAATCAGTGCAAGCATATTCCGACCTACTTGCGCAAACAATAGACGACTATACGTTCGTCGAATCGAAGGCCGGCAGCGGAAACTACCAATCTACCCAGGCCGGGATCGTGTCTTGGGCGCCGAAAGAGAAGGAAATATTCTTCAACGTCCTTGACAGAAAAGGGAAAGATGGTATCCGTGATATAGCTGGTGCGATTGGTACGAAATCAGAGCTGGAGGTCCAGGAATATCTCAGACTCTTGCAACGGAGACTAGAATGGCAGCATATGGAAGATGAGCACAGCAGAGCAATCGTCCTAGGCGATGTGCCCGCGGCGAAGGAAGTAAGTAGCGAATGCTGCGACGCCCTTGATGAATATTCTAAGCTGCTGGTACTCAAAGAGCAGCAAGATGAGGATGTTGCCGGAAGACAGAGGCATCACGATTTGTGGATAATCGATCGAGACAAAGCAGAACTAGTAGAAGAACTAGAGACGCTGGATCAAAAATCCCCAGCCGGCTCAAGCATTTATCACACGGCCAGTCTACTCAACATCCCAAGATGGATCCGGCTCTCCGAGCGCTTGTTCATGAACTTCGGAGGCGCAAGACTAGAAGATAATTGGGTGAACATAGCTTACGCGGGCGAAGCACCAGCAATAACTGCCGATGCGTTAGCCGAGTTCTATACTCTCACCGTAAGCGTGACACGCCGTTTGATTCAATCGACCCTGTTTTTCGCCATGTCAAGACTGCGCAACATGAGAGATACGGGTAATAGCAAGGCCAAGGTAGTCAAGCCGCGAGACGTTAGGACCGCGCTGGACGTGCTTAAAATGAAACGAGACGGGTTTGACTACTGGACTGGCGTAGCAAGGCGGTGCTGTTTGGATGTTTCGGATTCTCGACATAGAAAAGGATGGAAGTCCGTTCGCCTGAGTCACGACGAGGTGGAAGATATGCTGTCCAATAGGACACCCATCGATGCAGAGTCGAATCGGAGCACATCCAGACAAAGGTCAGAAAGCAGGTTGCAGAGCACAGACGGCGAACACACAGACAGCGATGAGGATAATCCGAGTGACAGTGGAAACGAGTTCAAGCCCGAACGCTCCCCATCCCCAACTGCACCCTTATCACCAGAAGTCCCCAGCGATGAAGATGAACTCCCATCGGATTCTGAAAATCAACACGCCGAACAAGAAGACCAAAAGGCCAGTTGTCTTGAAGAGCTAGAACTTTGGAAGGCTTTGGACCGGCCAGTGCCGGATTTTTCCGGTCCGATCAAGAAAGAAGATCAGGGAAGTAAAATACGCAAACCGATAGGAGAGCGCAAAACACAGCAAGAGCTTGTAGATTGGCGTGAAAGGACACTATACCGAAGCGACTGGGAGGAGTATGGTCACGAAGTTTATGATATCTATGAAGAGATATCCGAGAAGCGACGAAAACGAAGGCGCTTTGACAGTTCACGGGATCCTTCACCTGTCACAGTCGATGGTGAAAACAACCAAACAGATAAACTCAATGTTGAACCAACCGCTGGTGAATATGACGAGGACATCAACCCGGGTGAAGACGACCACGAAGACATAGAAATGGACGATTCAGCCGCCCCAGACCTAAACACCACTATCCCTCAAGATGAAGAAGATCCTGAAATTCACAATACCCGACACAAACAAACAACCGAACTTAACTCAAACCAGAAAGGAGCGGATGAATCAGACTCATCCCCACCCGTCAACACAAACCCCGGATACCGATCACCTATACTAACCCGTCGGAAGCGCATACAAGTCGAGCCCAAACAAGAAGAAAGCTCCTCTTCTAGCTCAGACGACGACCTTCCTGCACCCAGGGAATATCCGTCCTCAGAGCAGGACGAAAGGGACGGCATGCCTCTATATTCACAGCCGATGAGTCCGGCTGACTGGCCCAGCGATTGATTGGACATCCGTCCATCTAATTTTGCTATATATTGTGGCCCATTTTTCGATCTCTGGCTTTTTGTATGATATTTTTGTATGATACCACATAAACATGTTGGTCACTAGACATTTAGCACAAGAATTAACAATTTAACGATTTCATTCCACCTTGAACTGAATAATAAGGTTGAAATAGATGAACGCGACAAATACTCTAACTCCAATATAGTTGCGCCTTTTCCTAGTTGAGCAGCAAGTCAATAGTAAACCCAAACCCCAATCATTCATCCATCAATCAATCACCCAAACAGCCTCTGTGAGGTGCACCTCCAATCTTTCGTCCTGGTATCTGGTCCTTCGGCCCTAGAATATTTATGGTACAATACATGGATATTATAAATGTTAACCTGCGAACGTCCCTGTTGCATCGTAAGAAATGTATTTCATATTTTTTTTTTTTTCAAAATGGTTTTCCATTTACGCATGCCATTGGAAGGAAGGAAGCTTCCACCCATTACAGGTCCAGGGTCTTGTAGTCAGCACCTGCCTCCGCGCTCAAAGGCTGTACGACAGCCCGTGCATCACTGCCTGCAGGCTGGAAGTTGAAACGGTTTCCGATTCCTGCCGTCGCGGCCTCACCAAGCATGTTGTTTGCATCCTCACCGGGTCCCTTCAGACTAGCCGCTTGCAGGGTATCCTGGACCTCTTTTACACGCTTCTTGAAGGCCATCCGATCCAGGAACAGCTGCTGACGAGCCAGTTCAAGTTCCCGGCGTTCGGCTTCAATGATCTCTTCCATCTCGTTGAACTGCTGCAGCTTGATCTCGAACTTCTGCAGAGTGACATTGACAGCAGCAGAGACTAAGCGGGTCATCTCCCGCTCCTCGTGAGACGCAAGAGCGCCGGCACGAGCTGCTGAGGTGGCGAGTGCGACTGTGGGCAGAGAAGCCTTGGACTGTTTATCAGAGCTAGAGGTTTCTACAACCTCAGTAGTAGAGGCATCCACATCCATGGAATCCTCCGTCTTCACCCCAGAACCCTCTTTTTCCTTGCCCTTCTCTTGACTCTTGTCGGAGCCCTTCTCGAGCTGCTTTCGAAGCTCCTTACGGATCTCATCCACGGAGCGACCCGCCGCCGCAGCGGCCACGGCAGGCTCTGCCATCTGGGCCAAAAAGGCAACTACGGACAGAACGGGGTTCTCAGCCTGACTTATGGGCTCTCGTCCACCGGCAGTGCGCATATCAGGTAAGTCCTCGACATATTTGTCCTCAATCTCCAGCTGCAGGAACTTCATGACACATTCTTCCTTTGTCCTAGTGCCAACATGGTTGGCAATCTGCTCCCAGTTTTCATCAAAATTCTCCAGTCCTTCGAGGAGCAGTACAAGTTCGGAGTCAGACCAAGGAGCATCCTTGTCCGGAATTACTGAATACGCGCTGTCTTCGAGTTTAACGAAATCGGAGGCGCTATGGCTGGAAGGCATGCGGCCTTGTAAGAAGCAGTTAGGGCAAAGGTCATACTTTGAATCCGGGGCAGATGCGTTAGCGGTGGCTGGGGTCGACTTCGCATAATGAAATCTGAGTCGGGTACAATCGATGCCGCATGAGAAGCAGTGGAACTTCTTTCTGGGTTCCTTGGAAGCAGTTTCCATCGCCTTCACCGCATCGCCCGTCGCACCGTTAGTGGAGCCGTCGCCATTTGTCTGCTTCTCCTTGTCCTCAACAGCAGGTGTGATCTCCTTGCCCTTATCGTCATAGACGTTGCGGCGGATTTCGAGGTTAAGATCAGCCTTTGACACTGGCGCAGCTGAAGCTGCACGCTCAGTGGCCGGTAGAGGCTTTCCGGGCTTAACAAAATGGTTTGGCCCAGGTTGGAAGGGTTGAAGGCCGCGTGGGGTATCAGCAATAACTCGGAAGTGACCCGTGAAGGGGGGACCAATATTTGACGGACGAGTTTGGGGATCAACCTTGAAGGGGTTAGCAACTAGGTATAGCTCAAGGTTGATGATTACTCACTTGATAGTTAATCAAACCCCACTGTTCTAGGAACGAGTGAACACGCATGATCGCGCACACATCTCCAGCAAGATTACGGCGGCATGCGGTTACTGTGAGATACTCGATAGGGTTCAGTCTGTAGGTGTTGATCATGAAATCGCGATAATCTTTATAGACAGCGGGTGTCTTGCTTCGGTTCCTGCCATTGAAAAACTCTGCGAGAGCCTTTTTCTCGATCGGATGAACGGTGTGCATGTCGAACCACGTGGAGTAGCTGGGAAGAATAATGGCATGTGTTTGCGAAACAAGTTGTGAGCGCGCCGAAGATTCGATCGACGACTTGCCTTGTCCAGACTGATCTTCTGTAGCACCTTCGGCACCTGACTGCGCAACGCCGTCGGCATTTTCTTCAGCACCCTCGCTTTCCTTCTTTGGTTCAGTCTCTGTGCCGCCCATCTCCTCGTCCTCCGGTTCGCCTTCGGTGTTTTGAGCTTTGGGTGAGGCCGGAGCGTCTAAAGGATTATCAGTCCCTGGAACATTCAGTCTCCCATTTTCCTATGACTCTTGACGCGATTGCGATCCGGAGCATAAGGTTGCGAACGTTGACAAACTCCGCATTCTATTAGGGGAGGGAGGGCAAACCCACCGGAAGGGTTGATCACTTCACCTGGGGCATCTTGGGTGGCAGTCGCGGAGTGAATGTCATCGACAGCGCCGCTGGAAACGACGTTACTCTCGTCCATGTTGATAGAATGGTGGTCAAAGAAGGATACGGAGGTCGCAGGCAGCGGAGCAAGGGTCTCTGCTTAGAAGGCCAATGGAGGCGAGTGACAGGGTGCGGATGCAACCCTTAATCAACTGGCTTATCAATAAGTGTGGCAAACTGAGCCTCCGGGATAAATAACGGAAGTGACACCAAGCGAAGAAGCAATGAGGTGACGATGAGGAGGATGGCTTAGTAGCGGTGCAACTGTCGCGACACGGCTGTCGCTCCAAAAGTTCGCGCCAAGAGCCTCAGACACGCTAGCCACTTTGGGAATAGGCATTCTCTCTTTTTGGCCAGTACTCCGTGTGCCCTGCTTCCTACTACTTTCTTCTACTACTACTCCGAGTATAAAATATCTAAGACTACAATTACTTAGACCGATTGCCTTGCTTCATGTAACTACTCAACTGCGAGAGCTCCGTATCACACCAGTATGGCCTTTGAGTTACTTCTTCCTCGGCAGGAATGGTCCACCGGACTCATCATATAATTTACCCAAAAAACATGAACCATGGTATCATCGATACTATCGATTTATTAAAATTATAATGCAATTCTAAATACAGGCTTCATATGCTAACTTCTCTGAGCAAGAACCGGCTAGCTCTTTGAACCACTTCGCTCCCTTCAAGGCTGCGTCATTTTCGAGGTTGCCTCAGCCTTCTCTGCCAACGCTTTGGCAATGGCAGGTCTAGCCTTGATTCTCTCCAGCCAGGCATTGAGATGAGGGAAGTCTTTTTCCAGCTCAAATGCATCTCCGGTGATCCAGGGAATGATGCCGAACCAGGGAACGAAGGAGAGGTCGGCATAGCTGTACTTGTCGCCAACCAGATACTCACGGTCCGCAAGAACGTTGTTCATCGTTTCCGACACACGACGGATTTCGTTGATGTAGCGCAGCCGGGCACTTTCGACCTTCTCGGGGTGGTATTTGGTGAACCATACTGCCTGGCCGAAGTAGGGACCCTGACCCGACATCTGGAAGTGGAGCCATTGCTTGGCGTGGAAGTACTCAGGAGTACCGGGTTCGAAACTGAACTTCTTCTCTTTGTCGTAGGTTTCAACCAGGTATTCGAGGATAGCACCCGACTCCCACAGGGTGATTCCTGTGTTGGGATCCTCGATGGCGGGAACACGGCCGTTGGGGTTGATCTTGAAGAAGGGCTCACTCTTGATTTCTGCGAATTGAAGATACTTGTAATCGTAAGGAACATTGAGTTCGTTGAGGAGCATGGCCACCTTCCAAGGGTTAGGGCCGGCGGAATGGCCGTGGAGGATAAGAGGCTTAAGAGACATCTTCACTAGATACTCTGCTGATGAATGGGAACGATTGTTGTTGTGTATTGAAAGAAATAAGGGTAGTGGTTTGTAGCAATGTTGCCGGGGAAGCGTGAGGTATATGCCTCTTTAAATACCTAGGATCACACAATTTCCGGATAGGTTGCGGTCATTCCGTAGTGGATATTTAGCATCCACTCAGATCTGAATGAATATCATGGAATCGGGTGGTTTGCCGCATAGCTGCGGTACGCTGACAAATGCACATTGGGGGAGATATAGGGTTGGTCTTTTAAGGTTGCATTATGAGATGTCATGCCTATCCACATTGACCGATTATTGGAGGAGAGAATCCATTCGTCTTCTTCCATCGAATGTCATCGAATGAAGCTGAATCTGTCATCGGTTGCACACTTGGTTGCACTGGCTGACCTTCCCACATGCTTTCTAATCAACCTCCGAGATCATGGATCTACATGATATTAGCTTAAGCTCCTGGCAAATGAAACAAAGTGAGGGTTGTTTAATAAGACCTGGTATGGTGGGCCACTTATTTTATCGTAATGTCTTTTAAGTGTTGGTGTTGATTGGAAGGGGGGGCTTTGGATAATAGTCACCTTTAACGCCAACCCTACGACTTTGGGCATATCTTGAGGGTGATCCTTGGCGACGAAAGGTACTACTGGAAAAATAGCATCAAAGGAAAGGCTAGCCATGTAGTTGGATTTACTTTCTCTTCTTCTCCTTTATTGAGTTGCGTGTTCTCGCGAGATAGATGAAATGTATTATGTGGTTGTTCAGCGGGGTTGGATTTATATATAAATCTAAACAACCATAAAACAAACGTCAACCAATCACGGCTCCAGTATACAAAGTTACTATAACACTGGTACAAAGAGGTCAATTCAACGCAAGTTCGTGACATGTAGTATTATGTTATGCATGCAGGAAATCCGCCTAGGACGAACCCAGTAGCACCGAGTGGACTGTACATTTTCTACTCCGACGCCTGACGCACCGATTTTTCTGCCCCCTGTCTACCACATGCTTGTTTATTCTAAAATTATCTCAAAGTTCTTGATTAACTAACTCAGCTTGACTATATACTCTTATTCCGAAATGCCCTCATTTTGACACGCCGACTCCGTGTCTTTCTTTGATCGCTATCGGAATGAAAAGTTCGACGTCGGAGTTCGGAATAGCGACATATGTCGGAGTATGCCAAGACCAAGACCATTCTGGCCGCACTGCCATAATAGACTATGCTCTATACGTAGAACGAAGTAGAGCTGTCTACAACACTCTAAACGTATCCAGTAACCGCGATAATTGAAATCATATGTCGGAATTCAAGATTCTGACGTATGCAGCCATGAAAGCCTAATGCCCATCCTGAGTCACTCCGGAAACCCACCAATGACCGATAACAGCAAACTGAGCAAAGCAGACAAACAAAACTTTAGCTGAATTGAACGAGATGGCTCCAGATCCAAATTTCTCGGCAAGTGGAGTCCAGGCCCGATTGTCATAAAGGGATCCCAGTTACAGTGTAATTTCTTAGTAAAAGAAGAAAAAGACAGACTGTGGTTCCTCCAAAAGCCTGACATACGGGGTAGTAGGTACTACTCACTTAACCCGAATGGGTGCCCTACCTACCAGACTCCCACCCCGACATCCAAACAAAGCTAGAAAATACGAAACCACCGACCACCTCCTCTAACTCTAAGCGAGATTCTAGACTATCTTCTGAGTAATTCGGATTCTACCCGAATAACTTCACCGACTTCGTGTTTGTTCACGCCCTTCGCTCCTTGGTATACCAGAATAGACTGGTCTTGTGGGGTTGACACGAGCAGTCATGACGCATTTTTGGCATATCATCAGGCACTCAAGCCACCTGTGGATCCCTCTCCAGGAATGAAGATACTAGAGTGTGCTTGGTTGGAGCGGATTGCTAAGCCTTACAGCTAATCGTTGTGGTGGGTCATGTACTTGCTTTGGCGGCTTTCTTTCTTTTTTTTTTTTTTTTTCTTTTGGGGTTAGTTGTCGTACTCCGTAAGGCGTCGGAGTAAAAATGCGTAACACGGTACGGAATGGAATATAAGGTACTTGGAGGAGTGAATTGACTGCATTTGAGAGGGTATATATAGACCGGGCTGGATCTTGTTTTGCATCTTTTTCATTCTATCATCAAACATTGATTACTTTCACTCGAACAAGATCAATTCATAATATATTGAAACTACTGCTATAAATACTTCAAGACTCCTTCCGAACTATACAAACCAAGTCAAACCAAGCCAAAGAACAACCACAACCATTCCTCTACATAAACCAACCCTCTCAAAAACCTTCTATCTAAAAGAAACAATGACCTGCAAATCTACAAAGTCAACTACCACCGTCTCAGACGATGCGGCATCAACCCACTCCTACCTTTCCACAACAACAACCCTGAAGGGCACCGACGCCGAACCCACCACGAAGAAATGGTTCTCCCTGAAGAAGACAGAGAAGACGGGTACCTCTACACCGAAGCGCACCAAAAGTTCCGAAAAAGCGCTACACTATGAGGCCATGGCTACCTACCTTGCGTATCGGTGAAGATGCAAGGAAAGGCGATATATCATATCCATCAAGAGATCGAAAGGATCATCGAACGGAGCTAATGCTGGGGATACATGACAACTCATTGATGACGTACCGTACCCTTTCTGCCTGGTGCACCTCGGGGACTTTGCTTCGATTTTTTCTTCTGTTGGGAAAATTGGCGTTTGGGATTAAATATTAGATTGCACGATGCGCTGTGTTTACGATTTTGAGCGCTTTGGTTTGAGATCGAACTCTTGTTCTTGATGTTTAGTTAATACTGAGTATTGGGATGTGGTGATCGGTTTCTCTGCAGAGAACCGAGTGCATAATGGATTATATTTATTATCTTATGATTGGGAGACTGAATCTTTTTGTTCATATAAATTGAAGGCGAGCATACCTTGGCAGCCATACGGTACGTCGGCTTCAGAATATTACTAGCGAAGATTCTATGAAATCGGAGTTTAGAGTTATCATCTAGTCATGACTGTTTCGTATTAAGGCTATGTACTAAATTCCTTATAGTCCCGCTAGCAACTCGCTCATTGAGATGGGCTTTCGTACGGCATTCGAGAACCCGTCGTGATACGTCACCCAAACCTTTCTGCCTGCCCTTGAAGCCTCGTTCTGCACTGGATTCTCGTGTGAGCCCCCAGGCTGCGGCGAAGGCTCGCGGATTATCCGTCCGAAAAAGTCGCGTTTGACACCAGCTTCCCGGATTGTTCTTTTTGCCCCCTGTCCATCGTCCTGTATCTGGCCGTCTGCAGACTTGCGGGCTGATTTCTTGGGGCCAGTAGTCGAACTCAATGTTTCGGTTTGTTTTCGTACCGTCTCTTTGCGGTACTCCTGGTCAAGGACTTGCCGAACAGCGTAGCGCACTGGTGCGGCGCTAGTTGTTCCTGTTGATGAATGTCCTTTGGTTTTCGAGAATGTTACGAGTGAATCTAATGGACTGTTGGACAGTTAGCCTGGAGATCTTGAAATGATGTCTAGATGCAAGTGGTGTAACATACGGCTCCATGCGATATGCCCACCCCCCATGCGCCCCGCCTTCACCCTCTACCCGCACCTTTTCGAATGTCACACCTAGTCCCGTCATGACACGGACGGCTGCCTGCACGAGAGCCCGCTCGCTTTCTTTACGCACACTGGCCATGCTCTTCTGTTCCCCGCTTCCCCGTACAACAACCGGTTTTACATCAGGCGACAACATCCGCATGAGGTTGGGGACGAGGTCAGTGACCAGACAATCGGTTGCTCGGAAAAGCCGTAGCATTGGAGCAGTTAACGAAGACTGAAAACCATTGACAATTGCACGGTTCTGCTTCAGAGCCTCATTAGCGGCAAACTCTGCCCTGGGTCCTGAGAAAGGGTGTTCCTCCTCTCCCTCTTCGTCAGGCTCATTACGAGTGCGCTTGCCATAGGCGGACGCAAACAAATGGTGGAATGCGACCACGGGCTGGCTGAGGTACGGTGTGAGTTCCCAATCCTGATTAGAGAAAACCTTGGATGAGATAGTATCATGAAAATGCAGCCAGTCATAGGCGTTGTTGGGCTTAGAGAGAAATGTGTCGTCCTGATATGTCTGCAGGGGATATGAAGTAAAGCACTCCGTGACGCAGCGGTCGTAATCGCCACTGGCGTCAACCATCTCTCGTAGTCGGTTAATGGCATGGCGCTTTTTGAGGTCGGCTACACCCACAGGAGTCTTCGCGTTCTCATCGAAAGGATCACGGAAGGATTCGGTGTTGATAGGGACGTCTGCAAAACCAGCTCCTTCCGTGAACACACGGTCGACAATGTCGTGCACGCCTCCACGGTTTAGGCCTTTGAAAAACGAATTGCCTCCTGCAGCCTCACTCAGAACATTCTGCTCAAGCCATCTTCTCGTCAACCGCATAGACTCTACGCTCTCGTATTTCAGCTTATGGGCCACCCATTCCGCGGCGACAAGGACACTTCGAATATCGCCTTCGGCCGTTCCGCTGTTTTTGGAGTTGGCTTGCTTCCTTCGGGAAACACCCCATGACGCTTCACATAGCCTTCTCACTCCGTCGTTATCGGCGGGGATGCCTTCCAAGTTGAAGATGCCCCTCATGCGCGAAACCACGTTCTCCAAAGGTGCTTGGCGCACATGGATCATTTCAGCAACAGAAGACGCTCTTAGTGGCCGAAGGCTGGGGTGGTATACATCGTTGCAAACCAGGATAAGGGGCCGCAGGAAGCGGAAATTGTCTCCTTTCCTTCTTCTGCCCGCCGTGTTTTGTTCCGATGAGCGTGACGCATTTTTCTGGTCGAGAAGAACCAGGTCAATCAATGCTTTCATGAAACCTCCCTCACCGCCGCCACCAGATCCGCCAACAACACCGTCTACCTCGTCGACGACAACGCAGACTGGCCGCGCTGCTTTCCGAACCTTTTTCTCGCCTACTTCCACGTTCATCCCCTTTACGTTTTCCGTCCCTAGTGCATCTCGGATTCTCCCTTTCACCACGTCCTTGCTCCGATCATCACTAGCATTGATCTCCAGCACCTCATAGCCTGCTTGTTTGGCACAGACATGGGCCAGTGTTGTCTTTCCAAGACCAGGAGGTCCACATAGCAACATTACCTTTCGGTGCGGTCGTTCCTCCTCATTGCCGGACTTTTTGGGTTTCGACCTAGCTAGGTTGGGATAAACAATAGATTCCCACCCCTTTAGCCAGCGCATGACAGATCGGTGTGTTCGTTCGTCTCCTATGAGTTCGGTAAATTTACGAGCACGATATTTCTCGGTCCACATTATTGTTGCTGCTTTCCTATCCTTCTGATTTCCCTCTGCGGCTTCAATCGATTGCCGCACTACAGGGACAGGTGGGGGTCTAGACGTTTTTGACTGTTCGGCCTCCTGTGCAGCTTCGTCCATAAGTCTATGTATATCAATACCATAGTAACTCTTTTGAGCTCTCCCTGGAGCCGTGGTTGATCGGCCGGCAACAAGTCTTTCATAGGAAACAGTGGCTGCCGTCTTCCTTAGCGCAACATTGTGCGTCTTGCCCGAGCAAGTCTTTATCTGTATTGACGCAGGCCCCCTTCGTGGTAAACTGAAAGATGTAGGTACTGAAGTAATTGGAGCGGTAGTTGGGGCGTGTAGTGTATCAAGTGTAGATGTAGAAGTCTGGGCGAGCTGTGAGAGATTCACCGGCTCCGTCGGCGCAACAGGCGGTTGCCCGATGAGTTGGTCTTCGATTTCAAATTGGCTCCGTAGATGGGCATCTCCAAATGCATCCATCTCATCCTCATCATCATCGTCATCCAAGAATCCTCCCATAATCTTTTGCCGCTTGGGCTCCCCCGACTGAGTCTCTTCTCCATTCTTCCTTTTCTGCGGGTCCGTCGGTGAAGGAGCACTCGATGGAAAGACGACGGGTGACGATATAAACGGCATCTTGGCGACGGGAGGCGAAGACGGTAGAAGAACTAGTGGGCGAACAGGCGAGTTCACGTTCCCCAGCTGGGTCTTCCTGCTAGGTTTCGTCGGAGTTTCTAAATCACCGTCAGAATGCTTCGCATCACCATTATCTTCCTATGCGACAGCATACCAGGTCTTGTATCCTCGTCACTCCGAAACACATCCGAGAGATTCCAAGCCCGGTCTAGGATCACGACCTTATTGCGGATATCTTCCTGTCGCTGCAGATGTATAGCCTCGAACTCGTCGGAGAAAGATTCAGAGGGCGGGAGTATATCTATATCGTCCGGTTCCTGGGAATGGAGGTGTATGGCGGGATCAAACGAGTGCGGGAATGACGACGGTGGTGATTTCATTAAAGCGTTCAAGAGGTCATTTCATATTTTGATAGAGCTGTAATACCCAATTGACCAGTTTGGTGATACTCTCTACTCCGTATCTGTGGACCGATTAGATGGAGTGGGTGATGCGACGCGCTTGAACGCGCCGACGGGTACGCGCTAACCCTGAATGGGTGTCAAGTGCATGCGGCCCAGGGGCAGAGTGACGCATGTCCTTCTATATAGGTGTACTAATGTACGACAGAATGGACATAATATTGTTCATTATTGATAATTGTTTACAAAATGACTGAATAATGGGCTGAAATTTCTCTCCGGCCATAGCATGAGAGTCTCCAAAAGGGAACGAAAGGTGCAATATTGGGGAATATCTCGCTACGATAATATTGCATACATATAGCAACCACAACAGTTGATATCTTGCCATAGAAAACTAAATGGAAGGGCCTATGGCCGCAGCATTCCATGAAGCTCCCACACCATTGCCTGTACGGTTAAGGGTGCATAGCTCCAGCACTGAAGCACATCACCGAAGCACATCACCAAAGCACATCACCAAAGCACATCACCTATGCGTTGAATCAAGGCTTTACTCACGAAGATCGATACAAGTATAACGTGTTGTAACTAGGAGTCTAATTGCAATTTCCTAGTGCTAACAATGGATGGTATACTGTATGATTGACTCCGCCCCGGAAGCTCGCATGAGACAAAAAGAAATCATGATACAAGAACACAAAAGCGATAGGCAAACTAAGCCTGGCTCTTCAGCTTTTCAGTCAACTCCGGCACCTTCTCAAAAAGGTCGCCGACAAGGCCGACATCCGCAACCTGGAAGATAGGAGCATCAGGGTCCTTGTTGATAGCAGCAATAACTTTGCTATCCTTCATACCAGCAAGATGCTGGATAGCACCGGAAATACCAGCGCAGAGATACAGCTGAGGCGCAACATTCTTGCCAGTCTGGCCAACCTGCAGACTGTTATCAGCGAAGCCACTGTCAACAGCGGCACGGGAAGCGCCAATAGCAGCCCCGAGCGTATCGGCCAGAGGCACAATAACCCTATCGAATTCCTCCTTCGACTTCAAGCCACGACCTCCGGACACAACACGGGCTGCGGTACCCAAGTCGGGGCGTTCAGACTTGGCAAGCTCCTCAGAAACCCACTCGGTCTGGGCGGGTGCCTTGGGGTCAACTCCCTCAACAACCTCTGCGGAGCCACCCTCGGTTTCAACACCCTGGAAAGCAGTGCCTCTAACGGTGAGGACCTTGATGGGGTCGCTCGACTGAACAGTAAGAATGGCGTTTCCAGCATAGATAGGGCGGACGAAAGCTGTGTCAACCATCAGCACATATGACTCATCGACAAAGTCAACTTCCTCAGTCTTCCTTATACGTACTGTCCTCGCTCTCAATTCCAGTGATATCGGACACCTGCTGGACATCCAGCAAAGCTGCCACGCGAGGCAGAAGACTCTTTCCGAAAGCGGAGTGGCCGCCAATGATGTGGGTGTATTCGCCCTTCTTGATATTCTCGACGAGAAGAGGAGCGTAGTTCTCGGGGAGACCCTAGTGTTCCATTTACGTTAGAAATCTCTGACA